CTGGTTATACCTGGCGCCCAATACAGTAATTTTTAGAGTGAACCTCCCTAATTTTCAGATTTTGATTATTGTCTCCTAGACCCAGGACCCCACCGCATAAGAGCTGGCCAGGGTGTCCTTAGGAGACAGCGGTGTAACTCTGGTTATACCTGGCGCCCAATAATTTAGTATTTCATTAATTATTTCTCACGGTGCCATTTATTTGTGCGTCACCGTTAAAAAGTGTCGTCACAATATATATATAGCGTAAATAATACTAACCTATGTTAGATATATAAGTAATGTAAGCAATTAAAAATAATATGTATGTAAGAAAAAAAAATATACAATATACAATATAAGCCTATACTACTAGTATTATTTAAGCAATGAGGGTAATCTCCCCGTACCCAACCGGCACCAGGGTGTCTCTATGGGCCTCATAGAATAGGACACACCCTGGGCATGCACCGGGTGCGTGCTCGAGCAACACACTCCGAGCACAGGTTGTGCACCGCCCCAAGTTAAACACCAATGCGGTGTCGAGCAGCAAATAGCGTAAACTGTGGGGGGTGTATAAGGGCAGCACGTCCGACGCTACCTCGCTCAAGCACCCGGTGCACAGCTCCTCCCGGCAGCAGGCGTGAATGTAACCGTGGAGGCACAGGCTGTTGTATAGGGCCTCATAGAATAAGTCGTCGAGCCTTGGCGTTGGGGAGGCCCGGTTCCCACCCAGAGTCTCCTCATCCCTACCCATAGCAGAGCGTGGGGCCATTTCTAGAAAGAAGTGTGAAAAACGAGAGTAAAACTAAGGATTACAAAAAAAGTATATATACAGGGTGTTCCGAAACTACCTGACCCGGTGGGTATGCCGGTGTTCGGGAGGCTCAAAAATCACGAAACATCTCAACGTATTCCTTAAAATTTGACAAGGAATGCAATGGTACTACTCCAGTGCGTTTCATATGGAACACCCTGTATAAATCTTCATTGTTTGATTGAAGAAGAAACACTTGCATGTGTACTAATAAATACAATGTAACTCTTAATGTTCATAGGCGTACTTTCATACACCGTTTAGTTTACTGGGTCTGGTCGCTGAGGGATGCTCTACTTACACATTTCCAAAAATTTTGGGATCTTCAAAGGTATCATTAATATTTCCTTAACTCTAGATCGACAACATGGTCTCAAATTGACCCCAAGACCTTTTGTTAGGTTTTAATCAAATTAGGTAGTCAAGGAGAGGAACGATTGACTCTGAAACTGTTATCTGATACCATATTTGAAAGTTTCAATAATAAATAATAAAATTGAATTGATTGAGAAAACGTATTATTCAGTCCACAAAAATGTAAAGTCAGAACAGGTAGGGTTATTTTGATTCCTTTGTTGTCAGTTTAGGATTAATACTTATACACTTTAATTTCTAATAGAATTATATAGTAAAAGCTCTCAATTTGTCCTCCCTCTAATAATACACACTCTCCAATCGTCCAGAGGCGTCGCCTACTTAATACCTACACATGCACAATAATATTTTCTTTGTCATTTTACACGTCTGTGTATGAAAGTGATGGTATACTATCAGTTTTTTATACCAACGTTTCCCTCTCATACTGACAACTCATCTTTATTCGATTTTGAGACGTGCTTGAGTTCAGAGTGAAATTGACTTTTAACTAGCAACATTTTTTTTTTTGTAACAGTGCTCTGTCAAAGTTATCAACGATATTTAATACATATTTTCCAATAGAAGATTTTAAACAAAAGTGAAAAAAATCCAAGACGGATATATAAATCTGTGCATTGTTGGACTGTGCGCTCACTCTGTGATAGATTTTTATAGATTTGGTTAGTCTGGATTGAGTGAAATTCAAGATTTAGAAACGCGAGACAAAACCGAAAACATTAACGGGTCCCTATGTATTGACAGGTTTCCGTTTCGCATGTAACGACCCTAATAGATATTCGCACATTGGCTTAGGACCGCAGCATAGATTTTGTTCCTATTTCGACTATTGCAGGGTTCCCAAGCTATGGTTGGACTAATTGAGAGGTTTTACTGTACAGTATTTACTACGAGTGGGTATCAGTTGTGCATAAGGCAACTATATATCGAAAAACTGTTTACTATTTATTTTCACCAATCTCGAACTGTGCACGGAATATTGTGCACCATAGCTTAATAACTGTGCATAAAATATCTTTATACGAAAAATTGTGCAGATATTTATTACAACATTTGTATGGACATTTCAGTTAATTCTGATCTAACCTTACCATTTACAAACTTGTTACAATAATACGTTATTGTGACAGACTATTCATGGTGGGGAGAAAATCATGATATAATCAAAAAGTAGGGGATTCCTTATGAAAAAATAAATCGAAATTTGCAGAATACAGTTTTTCCCACGAGGCTTCGATCTTAAGAAAATAGACTAAATATTAGTAGGGTACACTGCGGGATATTAATGCCGTCCTTGGGTAGAGCTAGTAGGAAGCGTGAGTAGGGCGACTGGCAGTGGCGACTGGTGGCAAACAAGCCAGGCCGCCGCGTGGAGAGGGTAGCCTATTCCCCGCGCTTGGGACGGCATGTCTGTCCAGAGTCCAGGCGTCCCGTATAAGAGTGTCTCAGACAATTTCAACAGAGTCCACATAAGTCCCTTTCATTCGCAGTTAGTGGAGTCCCAGAGATATCCTGCACTGTGTATAAGAGCGTCTCACTTGGGTCTAGCGTTAATCGCCCATAAGACCCTCTCACTCGCTGGCAGCGCTGGCCTGGCGCGTGTAAGAGTGTCTCACTTGCTTCTAGCGCTAGTCGCCCATAAGACCCTTTCACTCGGAAGCCAGGCCGACGCGTAGAGAGGGTAGCCTATTCCCCTCGCTCGGGACGGCATGTCTGTCCAGAGTCCAGGCGTCCCGTATAAGAGTGTCTCACAAAATATCAACATGAGTCCGCATAAGTCCCTCTCACTCGCAGTTAGTGGAGTCCCAGAGATAGCCTGCATTGTGTATAAGAGCGTCTCACTTGCGTCTAGTGCTAATCGCACATAAGACCCTCTCACTCGCTGCCAGCAGTGGCCTGCGGATTATAATAAGAGAGCCTAATGTTTGGAGTGAGAGGCTCTTATAGGCGACTCGCGCTAGAGCCAAGTGAGACGCTCTTATACGCGCTAGGCCACTGCTGCCAGTGAGTGAGAAGAGGGTCTTATGGGCGACTAACGCTAGACCCAAGTGAGACGCTCTTATACACAGTGCAGGCTATCTCTGGGACTCCACTAACTGCGAGTGAGAGGGACTTATGCGGACTCATGTTGATATTTTGTGAGACACTCTTATACGGGACGCCTGGACTCTGGACAGACATGCTGTCCCAAGCGCGGGGAATAGGCTACCTTCTCCACACGGCGGCCTGGCTTGCTTGCCACCAGTCGCCACTGCCAGTCGCCCTACTCACGCTTCCTACTAGCTCCACCCAAGGACGGCATTAATGTCCCGCAGTGTACATATGCACTTGGCTAATGATCGACTTACAGAACTCGCTACAGATCACTATTTCCTTCTGTCTCTCTTGTGACGTGATTATTCGATTCATAGTCATAAGGCAACTCCGGCTACCGATTCAGATAACGTTCTCGCTTTCTGGTTCCCTTCGTGTCGCCAACCTGCTAAAAAATATCTAAATCATACTTTCGAATGCTTTTTACGAACTGAAACGTAAATAAGTCCTCTCAAAGTTAAACTGATGTCGCTTTGAACGTGACGTCGTTGATCCCTGCGTGATCTTGACCAAAATATAAAAGCTAGTGGGTATACCTCGTCTATTTGTACCATAGCACATAGGATGTTTACCTCCAACTTCAATCTCGTTTCCCGTACAGATTTTGGGAGCTTGGGAATCATGCCACATTATCGCATTCTATGCTAACCGTATCTCAACTTTATGTCGTGCATTTGAAAATTGCAACGTCACAAATTATAAATAGCATCTAAGGAACAACATATGTGCATTAGAAACAATTGCGTATTTTTTAGCACTAACTGTCTGGTGGCTCACGTTTCTACTGTTGCGTGCACAGCTACTAAGCTATAGTGCTTAATCTCTCGTGCACAGTTTGAGGTTGATACAAATAAACTTTGCATGAAATATCTCGTACACGGTTATTTGAATGTCACATTTATAGTTACATAGTTTCTCGTGAACAGTTGCCCCGTGCACAATTCGGGTTTACCTATTTTGTATAATCTATTGCATAGAAATACTTAGTAAATATAATTTGTAATATTTACGGCTGTAAAATGGAATAAGACAAGTATTATTTCCAACATAAACACATTTCTGGGTACCAAATATTTATCAATCCCACAATGATATTAATGGCCTTTTGTTATCAAAAAATCGTAAATTAAAGGAAACATGTCATATAATTATTCAATGCTGATCGGGTGTTATATTTACAGGATATCCCAATTTAACTTAGACACTGGAATATCTCGGAAACAAGGAGTTTTGGGACAAAATATTTAAGACAAAAGTTGTCGGGCTCGAAGGGGACCATCTATTGAAATACCTGAAGGTTTGGGGTGGGGGCTGTGTTGGGCCCAGTGAGACCCAAGTCCAGGTTTTTTAAGGAGAATCCCCTATTCTTTATTGCAGATTTGTGTTGTATGAAAAAAAAAGTAAGTTTTGTTCTTGATAATTTTTCGATAAACCTTCTGCAAAAGACGCAAAAGGCCCTCGAAGTTAAATTTTAAAATACGTTACAAGATCCGGTTTTTTGTTAGTGATAATAGTAGTATGGACTGGCCATTTGATAATCTGAATTAATGTTGGGCGTCGCGACTGTTTTGGGTTCAATGAGGCCCAAAATTCATTAAACAATTTTTTAATTCATATTAAAATCATTTTAAAACATAAGAGTCCTGATGCGTCTTGAGGTCAATCACGCACGAATTATGTGTCATATACATCTTTTTTTGTTTTTCACTGATCTCTTATCGTACAAAGATTTGTAAATAACATATATATTGTGCAATTAGGGAGAAAAAGTGGAAAAACAAACATGCCGAAATTGTGAGAGGCAAGGGAACTCACAAAAAACAATTAACCTGAAATTGTAATTTCTGACGTCAGGTTCGAAACCAGCGAACTCAACAACCCTGTTAATCAGGTTTCATATAAATTATGTAAAGTTTTGAAGTTTTGGTCACTGTATTGAATTCACCATTCTGAATTTTGAATTTTTTACTTCAAATTCGAAATCAAAGATTTCAACAACCGTCTGATATCAAGTTTCATACAAATCAGACGAAATCTTGACTTTTGGTCAGTCTTTTTAGCTGCTATTCCACTGTGTATTGGCTGGGTGGTCTATTGATCTTGCCTTAATTGGCAGAATTAACATCCTGAAGCTTCAATTTAGTCAGATTATCAAATCGCCAGTCCATATTACTATTATCACTAAACAAAAAACCGGAACTTGTAACGTAAAATGATCAAGAACAAAACTTATTTTTTTTTTTCATACAACACAAATCAGCAATTAAAAATAGAGGTTCTCATTTAAAAAATGGACTTGGGTCCCACAGGACCTAACATAGATCCCAAGCCAAAAATTCAGGTAAATCACTAGATGGCCCTCTTCAAGCCGAACAACTTTTTTCTCAAACATTTTTCCAAAAACTCTTTGTTTCCGAGATATTTCAATGTCTAAGTTAAAATGGGACACCCTGTAGTAGTCTGGAAGTACAAATTATGGAAGTACAAAAGTGCAAATGTGTCTGTCAGTATCCAAACTTCAATTAAAACATGCTCAACATATGTGTAAACGGGTAACTTTAAACACTTTCACAATATTTAATTATAGGATTTATGCACTGCATTGTACTTAATGTCATTTTGTCACTTTTATATGCTTGAACAGGTCTCAAAAATGCCATAATTTAGAACAAATTTTTTATGAATGTTTAATAAATATAGAATAAAAGTAAGTAATGGTATACAAGATTTCCTTGGCCTCGATATCAGTGCGCTGTGAAGCTTTACCTTTGATTCAAATAATTCGATTCATCTAGATATAAAGCAGTAATCCTGTATATTTTTTTACGCAGGCTGGTGAAATGTTATATTTGGGGTATAAGCTAAATGCATTTGAAGCGAAGCAACGTGGATTTGTGAGCGAAATATTTCAAGATGATGAAATAAACAAGGTGTGGTCTCGTTTAAACGGTATATCTCGTTTATCCAAGGAGGTAAGTCCCATGAAATATGTAAATCTTTTTGAACAAATCAATTTTTCATGATGATACATTTTATACAGGCATTACTAAATTTAGGCACCGACAACTGCAATGGTTGATAAATCCAAAATCAAACTAAAGTTTTTCCGCCAACCGCGTGCGGCCAGTGGTATATTGCGTGCGTTCGAACTTAGTATCTTGCATCCTTTTTGGACAAACCCCCCCGTGCACTTTTCCTTACCCGCCCGTTTTGGATATTGTGAAACCCGAGGTATTTGTAAGTAGCCATTATCGCGTTCGGGAACCTTCCTCCCTGAGACCCCCTCACCTCCTCCCCTGCTAGCCGTGCCATTTCGCGTTAGAGTAAATATTCGAGGACCTTCTGAGGTCACTCGACTATGCTACGCCGAACAAGTAGCTGGCGCCCATTTGTTGTTTTCGAGATATCTAGTGCCGGTAAGCCCTCCTGTCCCTCCTGCCCTCTTGCCAATACCCTGCTCCCCCGCTCCCTGATTCCCCTCGCCCACTAGTCCATTTAAAGGTCCCTTCTGACACCGCGTGCTCCCGAGCGAGCACCCGCATGTATTGTGTTGACTGCGTGTTAGTCCAGAGTTGCGTCTTTGGCGGTATTGCATTGCGAACATCCTAGTTTCTTTTTAAGTATCTTTTCTTTTCTGTCCTTTGCGTTACGCTATTTTGTAATTCTTCTGTACACCGGCATTTACGTCATTAATTATATTCTTTTTCTATTTTACCACGTGTTCCCTTTTCTGTTCGAGATCCCTCCGACCTGTATTTGCGATAGCTGTCTTGCGAGACCCTGGGCCATTTTCGTGGCCCAGTACGTCACAGTATTAATATGAAAATGCGTGATAGGAATCGAATCGTTTTCTATCGTCACCAACTTATTAGGGAAGAATATGAAATAAACGATAACCTTCTTATATGGCTTAATAACAAATGGTTTTTCCAACAATTATCATGAATTTAAGGATGCATTGCATGTACATTTCCCACCAAGAATCTGATTTGATTCGAATTTGAGTGCTTTGACACGAGAATAAAAACTGAAAAAAATCGACGTCTTGGAAGGTAGGAAGAATGTTTATTTTTAATAATGATGCCAAAGAGTTACTAATAAATGAATTAAAAAAATTATTTTACATATTCGATAGAAAACTTTCATATGAAATGAAGTCTCTAATTTTTCCGATAAAAAAAGTATTCTTAATATCTCCAAGTCGCTGATTTTTGTCAAATTCTTCCCTTATCGCAAAATACTCAATGAAATCAATCTTTTGGTTGAGAATTTATGTACAATGCATTCTTAATACAGTTAACTAGTGATCAATTTGTTGTGTCATGCATAAAGTCATCCTATATAATATGCAATAATAAACCTATTAAAAATGATAAACAATTGATCTGCTTCTTTTTATATAAAACAATAGAAATTGTATAGGAAATATTAGATAACGAATCTAAATTTTACGAACCAAAAACACGATTCAATTAGATAGGATTTTTTAAAAATCGTTTTCTATCGTATTTTTTAAGCAGGGAATAGTTGTTCGAGTCTGTCAGCAATTGCTAACGTAATTTCTGGATATGATCAAATTTTAATATTATTTTTTTTCAAAAATCAATTCCGTATCTAATACGTGAAAATTATTAATTTGGCTTGTCGTTGTAAGATTTAGAGATTCTCGAAATTTCTGTTACATAAGTTATAATTATTTATTTTTATTGGGTGCTATGTCCTGTTACGTTATTTTCCGGAACACAATTTCCCCGAAAAATTGCTCGTAGCAAGACAACCCAACGTCACAAGACGATACTCTAGTATTTCCCCGGGAAACCGAAATCAAAAGATCCGTACTATTGTAAATGCCAAATATGTGCCATGAAACACGCAAAACTCCCTAGAAAATCAAGAGGACTCCGGCTAGTAGGAAAGAAACTGAAAGACGTGGTAAAGGCGCGGGGAACGCATAGATGGTAAAATAAAGTAGATTGAGAAATCACGAGAAATTCAGTTACAGTAATAATAGGTGCTTTTATTGGGGACTTATTAAATTAACAAATGTACCGTAATCAACAGTTAACGATGGTCGAGAAAACAAATAAGAATGAGTTATCGCCCGAGACGAGGTCCTGTACGGGATACGCGAAACACAATACGCTAATACAAACTATTATAAGCTATACGATGTCCTTGCGATACACGTGAAACAGAGAAATAATTCCAAATACGATATACTCTACTTCTGTGACCTACAGGGCTCGAGAGGCCTAGGTGCCCTCGCGATATGACTACCCGTTACAATACCAAACGCAGATCATAAACTACTCGATGGCGCAAAACAGTGTTCCACGTAGAACGAAATAACGAGTACAGTTCACGCAATGCGAGCTAGATAGACGGAATCAAATAGTGGACAGATAGATGTTGTGAGCCCAAATACTGGATTCACGGATTTGACTGCCGGAAAGTGTTTTCGGGAGTCAGGTACTTTGGGATTCGTTGCCTGAGTAAAAAGTTGGAACTTAACTCTCGATAACAAGTAAAAGATTTATTTGAAACAAAATAAGTTACGTTAAAGTACACTATTAGAAATAAACCGTAAACGTGGTGAGTATGAAATCACGAGGCTGGAGGTTAATACTTCGACTAAGTTACCGTAGTAACACTTCACTCGTAGCTCTCTTACTTCGTCTGACGTGCCGACAGGCTGTCCGCTGTTTATATCTTAATTATGGAATTTTTAGAGATAAAATAACCGAAGGATTGTTTCTATATTTCGCCATGGTGTCGGTGATGTGTCTCCTTTGATTCCATAATATTAGCGAGTGGAATGTGCCGCGTCGCAGCCTGGCCATTCCGTCGCTTCTGACGTAGGCGCGTTTTTAAATCTATATTATGGTTTACAACATAGGGTAGGTCCAGCGGATATTATAAATTAGAGAAATCCAAATTAAATTACCACACGTATATAAATTTGGAAAAAAATATAAGAGTAGAGGTACGTAACAGTAACGACATAGAAAATATAATATGCAAGAATTAGAACTGGAAAGATACGATCGCAAAGTATTATTCAAAGGTTCGATCTCATGAACGTACGAGAATCGTAGTTCATGGGTTTTTACGATAACTCTCCAGGGTCACCGAGAACATTAAGAATATCTAATAATAATAAGAAATAATATAAGAGTTCACGCTAAGGCACAGAAGCTTTTATTTTGGCGGTATGCGGTCTTCTCCTCAGCCGTAACCGGAAAGATAATAATTGCGATACTATCAAGATATTTACATACTTTACTGTATGTCATGACGCTCCCGGGTGATGCCCAGTTGCACACAAACCCAATTGGACACAAATGCGAATTTGTCTCCTGAGCGATATTCCATCAATAATTCAACGATATTGTGAGTTATCTTAATCTAGCGGAATCTTTTCAAACATTTAATGCTCTCTTCTGTCGATATACTTATTCTGTAACCTACCCAGTCTTCGAAATTTGCATATTCCACGCTATCCTAACCTTACCTAACCAAACTCAGCGTAAACTAATGTTAAATCACATACAATATACTGTACTAAGCTATTGCTCGTGCCTAATTCTATTCCATCCATTTAGAAGTAGACATAATTTTCAATAAAAAGTCATTTGTGTCCAATTGGTCTGTGCGCCAGTGAATCTCCCCGACGCACGCTCCCTATGGGTTAGTCGCTTGATCGGAGGCATTTCGTGAAATTTGAATTGGTTTTCTTTTTTGACTTGTTAGCGTCTTACGCCTGTTTTCTTCGACGTGGTTCAATGCATGAACTTGGTTTAACTGTCAATCAGATATTTACATTTTGAAAGTAAACGAAGTTTATACATTGAACCGCCTTGAAGAAAACGGGCTTTGGTGTTTCTACCTGCTGACATTGCTTTGTCCCTTTGGTGAGCTTAGGATTAATTATAGTGAATTTCTGTACTCTTGGTGCACTGTTGAAGACGAGCAACTCCTCTTAGGATTGGTCGAGGTTGTTGTTTGCTCCCGTTATTATACGTGTTTAGTTTCAGATTGTAAAGAGGCTTTTCTGCGATAGCATTCGTTTGATCAGATCTCATAAATAAATGAGAGAGAGATATCTAGCGCCCAACTGACTGAGTGTGTTTGCGAGAGTACGAGAGAGACCTCGATATATTTTTTTTTTTGAGGGTGGGATTATCAACATGTGAGGTTGGGTTTTGCGACGTAGAGTTAGCAAAATTAAAAAAGTAACATCGCAATATGTATAGTGACGGTCTGGGTGGTGATTTCCACCCACGGTCTCTCAAAGACAGCTATCGCAACTCGACAGGAGGAGGAATCACGAAAAGAAAAGGAAATACCAAGTAAAAAAAAAACAAGAAAGAATATAATTAATCGAATAAAGTGCAAATACAACGGAAAAGAAAATAAACCGGAATATAACAGGAAATACTATAACCCAAAAGATAAAGGCGCAAGATTAGACTAAATACGAAACAATAATAAACCGGGCCTCACGCGGGAGCACGGGGTGTCGCAACGGGGTTTAAACGGGCGGGAAGGGGGGGGGAGTCGGGGAAGCGGAGATACGCAAGTGGGTAAGGGGGACCGGAGGGACAGGAGGGCGTACTGACACTGAATATCGCGAAAACAATAAGAATTGGGCGTCAGCTACGGTTACGGTGTAACACTGTGGAGTGACCCCGGAAGGTCCTCGAATATTTACTCTACAGGAATGGGATGGCTAGCGGAGAGAGAGGTGAGGGGTCTCAGGGAGGAAGGTTCCAGAACGCAAAAATGGCTACTTCATAGTACCTCGGTTAAAACGCAAAAATGAGGGAGGGGTGGAAGGAGAAGTGTACGGAGGCTTTCTGATAAGGGACGCAAAATACTAAAAATTAGGACGCACCAATACACCACGGGCCTCGAGCTGGAGGTCGGAAGGCCCATGGAAAATACAAAGAAACTACTAGAATGCCGGTCCACG